TTGGGGGCCCCCCCCCCGCCCCACCCCCCCCCCACCAGTGGCCACCCACCGTCCTCAGGCTCCAGCTTGGCGCATGTCTCAGCCGTCATCAGGCTGGCCATGAAGCGATGGTTTGTAGGCGGCGTGGGTGCTCGGGGACCCGGGGTGATGGCAACGGTGGCACTGGGACCACGGGGAGCTGGGCAGGGGGCCGGGGGGACCTCACGGGTGGTGGCCACGTGCTCGGGGGGCAGCCCAGCATCCAGCTCAATGCTGTCCAGCCGGACCTGGGCCGTGCTGCGGGGCTGGCGCTCGTTCTGCACGGCTGTGGGGACAAGGTGGCCTCAGCACCAGCCATGACGCTGTCACCCCCGCCATCCATCACCGTGTGTGTCCCCCCACCCATCTCACCGTCCTTGTTCATGCCAGCTTGCAGGCACTTCTTCAGCCGGCAGGCCTGGCACTGGTTGCGATGTGCCTTGTCCACTGGGCACAGCCCTGTCCCTGCCTGGCACCTATGGTGAGAGGTGGCACCCAGCTGCAGCCCCTGGGATGGCCCCTGCCCCTGGGGGATCCTGACCCCCAGGAGTACCCTGCCCCTGTGGGTGCCACATCCCAGCGGTTCTTTGTCCCTCTTGGGTGTCTTGGCCCACCCACAATGGGTGGCCTCCACCCAATGGGTGCCCCACCACAATGGGCACCCTGTCCCCAGTGGGTGCCCTGCCACTCCATGGGTGCACTGTCCCAGTAAATGAATACCCTGACTTGATGGGTGTCCTGGCCCCATGGGTGTCCTGGACCCCCCCCCCCCAGGTCCCTGCCCCATTGGGTGCCTTGTCCCCTGGTCTCTGTCCCGCTGGGTGTCCATCCCCAAGGTCCCTGTCCCACTGGGTTTGTGTTCCCCTGGTCCCTGCCCCACTGGGTGTCTTGTCCCCCCCAGTCCCTGCCCTGCTGGGTGCCTGTCCCCTAGTCCCTGCCCCACTAGGTGTCCTCCGCCTTGGGTCCTTGCCCTGTTGGGTGCCCATTCCCTGTCCCACTGGACTCGGGCCCCCCCAGTCCCTACCCCAATGAGTGCATGTGAGGACCAGCCGTCCCCATCCCCACCTGTAGATGAGCTTCCTGCGGACGCTGCGCTTGAAGAAGCCACTGCAGCCATTGCAGGCGTAGATGCCGTAGTGCTTCCCGCTACTGGTGTCCCCGCAGACCTTGCACAGCAGCACGGGGCTCAGCGCCTTGCCAGGGGCCGGGCTCAGCCCTGCAGGAGCAGAGCCACCACATTTGGAGTGCCTTGGGACACCTCGATGTCCCTCATTCCTCCCACTGGTCCCTACTGCCCCCCAGCACGCTGGCGATGGGATGGTTTCCACCTTTGCTGGTCCAGCCCAGGGATGTAAATGGGACATCTCCGGGACTGCACATGGGGTTCAGCATCTCCCCATGCCCCGCTGCCTGGGATGCTGCGGGATGAGCTCTCATGGGGCTTTTAGAAGGGGACAAAATGTTGTCCCTAGGGATGAGGACACCAGGCATCCCAGAGAAGGGCCACAACCAGGGACCAGAGGTGTCCTGGAGAAGGGCTATGGCTGGAGACTCCAGGCATCCTGGAGAAGCATCATGATGAGGACCACAGGCATCATGGAGAGCACTGGGGCTGGGGACACAGGCATCTTGGCCCAGAGAAGGACCACGAGGGGGATCCTCAGAGTCTTGGAGAGAGGTGGTAGCTGAGGCATCCAGGCATCCAGGAGAAGGACCACAATGTGGATCCCAGGTATCTTGGAGAAGAACCATGATGAGGACCCCAGGCATCCCAGATAAGGACCATGATGGAGACACCACCACCCTGGTGAAGGACTACAAGAGGGACCACGGGCATCTTGAAGAAGGACCATGATGGGGACCCCAGCCATCCCTGAGAAGGACCATGCTGGGGTCCCTGGATATTTTGGAGAAGGACAATGATGGGGGACCCCAGCCATCTTGAAGAAAGACCCCACTGGCGAGCGCAGTCCCTCCGCGTCACACCCACTCAAGCAGAACACCACCTCTTACCCGTGGGGCTGTCCTCCAGCCCAGCGCTCACCACCGACCCTGCTGGCGAGGTGGCCATCCCGTGCCCGGCGTTCCTGACCTCTCCCTCTCCCCTCACTCCCGCTTCACTCCCGGCTCG